TGCTGCTGCTGATCATTATTATTATTTAAGTGATGATTATTCTTTTTCTGATAACGCTGATTCTTATTATGTTTTTTTTGTTGATTATTATTATTATTGTGCTGATTATTATTATTATTATTATTTAAGTGATGATTATTCTTATTCAGTTTATGCTGATTCTTATTATTTTGCTGTCCCGGCAAGCGTTGTTTTGCCATATAAATTATTTCTAGGGAATCTATAGTCTAGAAAAATTAACTAACTTATTGTAAGTGTTTAAGGATGTGGTAAATTAGTGAAAGAGTCATGGAGCGCACATTTGCTACTCCCTTATATTTTTATTGTTTTCCGTTTGTAATAAAAATTCAATAATATTAAAATTCCTTAAAAATATCGATCTCTTAATGCTATAGCGTGAACAATATTTTTTATTAGTCCATCTTTAGCTAACACAAACAAACTGGATGGTTTACCTACTCGAGAGCATGCCACGTATAATTGTCCGTGTGAAAAACATGGTGTTCTCAAATCTAAGCCATAAATGGACATCGTTAAACCTTGGGATTTGTTGATTGTCATTGCAAATGCCAATCTAATCGGAAACTGAATACGTTTGAATTGAATTGGCACATCTGTAGGTATAATAGGAATCCGTGGTATTAATATATTTTCACCTCGGAACTTGCCATTTAAAATGCTGGCTTCGATCACGTTTTTCATTAATTTTTGAATGACTAATCGCGTACCGTTGCACAGCCGGGGTGGGTTCAAATTACGAAGCAAGATAATCACAGATCCAACCTTAAATTGTAAATTATGCGGTGGCATGCCTGGTAAATCCAGTGAGTTCAAAAACTCTGTGGGAAAATTTACTGCTTCGCTGTCGTCGCAAACTGTATCAATAGATTTATATGATACCAAGTTCCCTGGCAACAACATTTGTATCTTCAGATTTAAATTGTCAACGTCTAGATTTTTTGCCGCTAAAATTGCTCTTTCTGCAAGCCACTCATGATTTATGTACTGTGTGTGTACATCGGGAAATATTTGTTCAATGAGAGTATCTTGCGAATCAGCGATTGTGCAGAAATCGGTCGGTAATTTTACGTATCCAGTTTCATCTATAGCAACTTTTCCATCACCGATATCTAAGAGTTGTTTTGAAAATGTTTCAGCGGATGGATCTTGAAGCATTTAAACGCACATATTTACTTTCAGCTGTAGTTTTTCAAAATTACGCCACAATGGAGATGATTTTAAGCAAGCGTTGATCTCATCAGCGTATGTTGAACGTGGAATGACTGGAAGTGTTTGCCTGAAATCACCTGAAAGGACCAACAGAGTTCCGCCAAATAGATTGTCGTTGTTTTTAATATCTTTCAATGTCCTGTTCAACGCCTCAAGCGAATGTTTGTGTGCCATAGTACATTCATCCCAGATGATAATTTTACACTGTTTCAGCACGGTGGCCATGGACGATTGTTTCTTAATGTTGCATACTGCGTCAGGGTTATTCTGAATATTTAGTGGCAGCTTAAATACTGAATGAGCTGTTCTGCTTCCATCCAATAAAGTTGCTGCAATGCCCGATGATGCAACGGCCAATGCGATGCCATTATTTGATCGTATTTCAGCAAGAATTAGCGAAATAACGAATGTTTTGTGTATCAGCAATGAACTGAAGATTATTATTTCTTCTACGAATCACAATTCCTCGTGCACCGGTACGATCGCCAACCATGATTCCAGCAACATCATCAACAACGGGTGCATTGAATCTACGAATATGCTCTCCAACTGGTGTTTTATCAGGATTAATGACTATAGCGTGATTATCGCTTTGTAATTTGTGCATGTGTGATTTGAATATTTTCAACAATTCGTTGTGCTCATTCAATAGAGCATCCAGCTCGCTGACGATGCGTCTGGCATAAAATGAATCAAGGTTATTATAATCACAACGTGCATTCACGCGATTGGCAAGTGCGCTTCCGGAATCCTCGCCGCCCATGAAGTATATTTGTAAAAATTTATGTGGTTCGTTTGGCATTGGCAGCAGTCAGCTCATTTTATGATAAACTTGGCCTCTGATTTTGAATGTAGAATTGTATTGTTGACCATTTGCATTAGTATTTCGAACTATTTCTGTTGCTCCGAACAATGTCATTTGAAAGCATGAATTGAATGTTCGAATTGACTTCAGGANTATTCAATATCGGGCTCATACTGGAATGCTAGACGCAGGAATGAATCAGATGTAAATTCCCGATGTATTTGTTGTCGTTGTTGGTCATTTGTTCTGCGTCTATTGACTGTGAAACGGCGTGATTGTCGTTGTTCTAATCTCATTACTTCATTGCGTTCAGCTCGTGTGTCTTCTGACTCTTCTTGACGCAATTGCGCTATTCTGACACGTGCATCAGTATTTTGTTGCTGGATTTGTTCTTCGGTTCTTTCGGATCTTCTATTTCGCAAGCTTCGAGATTTACTTGTATTACGGTTCAAATCAGCCCCTTTGCGTTTTGTTGGCATTGAAATATGTGCAAAACACACGTACATAGGTTAGGTTAGGTTAGCAAAATTAGCCAAATCGGCCCAGCCGTTCTCAATTGTTATTGGCACGCGGGTGCCACGGAAACCAATAATAAAAAATAACCACATAGAGTGTATATTATCTCTCCATGGCAAAATAATAATTGTTGAATATCGTGCGTGCTAGTATACTTTGACTTAAGAGGCCATAACTCCGGAACCACTTATCGCAGAGCATACAAACTTAGATAGTAGCCGATTCTAAGACCTACTGAATATGCATATAAAATTTCATGAGAATCGATCAAGTCGTCTCAGAGGAGTATGGGAACGAACATTGTGACACGATAATTTTATATATAAGATATTATGGTAAAATTATTAAAACAATGTACGTTTCCATGACAACAATGATTGTTTAAAAACAGATTAAAATAATAAAAACTTAATGATAACAAAAAATTAATAAAAACGGTTGCCAATGACAACCTTATTTTTAATCTTTCAATCTTTTTTTAACCTAAAGACCAAGGTTTTCCTTATTATCTCGAATATTAATGAGAATTTCAAAAAATGACCTCTCTAAAGTACCACCCAGAGAAAATTTTCTTTCAGAAAAAATACTACTTGATAATTGGAGTATGCTTTCTGGTATAAAAAGTGTTCATATAAAAACAAAAACTAAAAAAAAATCACTGTAAAACCAATACATTCCTCGTTCCACACATAATCTAAAATATGTGTACGCCCAAAAAACCCTTTGAAACGCACCAATTTAATGAGCTACAAACGTACTAGCATCAAGTGATTAATTTTCCCGTTGACGTAAACAATATAAAACATATTGCAATTACCTTAATTACATATTGTAATTACGACAGTCTGATGATGATTTTACGCTTTCAACGTACATATCGAGCGTCACTAAAATCACTAGGTACACTTATTGGGCTACTTGTCCGATAACGTATAGAAAGTCAAGCAATGGCTTCGATATTTGATCGGAGAGCCATTTTACGAAATTAACGGGATTGAAATCGGCGCTATCAACTAAAGACGAAAATGTAGATCCCGCCTAATCGATGATTGAATCGATATTCAGATATTCAATATTCGTTCACGGGTGTTCGGAGCTCAACCACCATATGATTTTCGCCAAGCAATACACACTCTAATGTATAGACGCAGAAAAAATACCTGGATATCGCGTCCGGAATAAACAAAAACTGTTATCTTTGCTGTACACCGAGAAATATATGCAGACTATAGTTCAGACTTATCATAAAGTACACGAGTAAACCCTGGTCCAACGACCCAAGAAGGTAATAAAAAAATTAGCTGTCACGGAGAACAAATGGGGAGGATTGATGGACCTAAAAAAAAAACCCTGATGGAACGCAAAACTTAAGAAATAAGATCGAACAAAGAAATTATTCGGAAAACCAGATAGAGTAGCTGAAATCCAACACAAGCGGCTGAATTGACTCGGTAATCTCCTATACGAGGTCCAAATCGATGAACTAGATCCGAGCGGAAGAAGAAATCGCAATATGAAGACCAAATCGTATAAATGAATATTGATAAAAACAAGAAAGAATTAAGACAACATAGAGACGGGAAATTTTAGCGATGTAGCTCGAAATAGGGAGAGAAACGGAAGTGTGTTTGTTCTGCGGAAATGATGGGCCTCGGGTGGACACTGAAATTGTTTGAACAAAACATAAGCAATACAATGAGTATAGAAATATATTCGAAATAAAAAACATATATACGGATCGTATGGGTATGCGATATTCCGTTCCTGTTCGTATCTATAGTATCTGTGTGTGTGTGTGTGTGTGTGTATTTTGTAAATATTATTTCATTATTATTTATTACGGAAATCTGTAAACGCGTTTTATAAACGGAGAGGCGGGGTTGTAAAAAGCGATTTTCGAATATATATTTATTTAATTTTTTTAAGGCCGACGCCGTCGTTCGGTCGCTGCGCTAAAAAATGTCAATAAGTTTTTTATACACACATATACCGAAGAATATGAAATAGCAATATAATTCCATATACATATTATAATATACGCGTATATGTATACTGTGAATTTATGTCCTGTCGGATTTAACTGAATATTGTACCCGAATATTTCGCGTGCTTATAAGTATAGGCGTATACAGTGTGTTCGCGTTTTCAGGTAACATTCAATGTCTCTAAGTACTATTTTTGTTTTTTCAAACAGCAATAATCAATAAAAACATTTTTTTTTTTTGTCTTAAAAATTACTAATTAGTTGAAGTTAGTTAAAAAGTAAGTTTTATCGATTTTTCAAAAACATTAAAGTGGACAATTTTAAAAGTGAAGAAATTTGATTAACAGTGTAGTTACGGGAAACAAATGGTTTGTACGTAGATAATCATAAAACAACACAACCATCATAAGATAAAGGTTTTACATTTGTTTTTAAAAAATCGATAAATAATCATATTTAAAAAAAAAAAAACTTTATATAGCTGTATCCCGATTAGTTTTTCAGATAAACAAATCTGTATTGGTCAAAGTTGCATGAAAAATAAAAACTATGACTATACGAACCTAATGTAAAAAATGGGTACTGCTATTAAAAAATAGTAATTTGTATTTTACATTCTTGGACCAAAAGAGTTAAAGGTTCGGTGCCACCTATATCACCCTCACAAATTCATCCGGCCGAAATATTTAGTGTTACTTGGAAACGCGAACGTACTGTATACTCCAATACCAACCTCCCGCCTCCTCCGAGCCGGCGAATGTCTAAAATGACTGTTGGTTTTTTTTCACATTAAACTTATAACCCTTTACACATAAATATTATCGATAGTAATAATATATATACACTCCTCGTATATAGTGTATATATTGTTATTATTGTTCGACAGCTGCTGCGCTGCCGCCCGAGGTTTAAATTTAAAAAAAAAAAAAAAAAAAACAAATATTTACACCGTGGGATTCTTGCAAAATATACCGTATAAAATAAAAATTTATTAAAATAGTTCGAGTTGTGGTTGTTATGCGAAAAACTAATTCAACCGTGCCGCGCCACCGCCGCGCCGTAATTAAGACTGATACCTGACATAGAGTAGGGGTTATGCTTTGTAAACGGAGTAAAAAAATAAAACAAACAAAAACCTTCCGACCGAACATTATCGATGACGTGTTTTTTTTTTCTCACTTGAAAACATATTTTCCGGAAAAATGATTACGTGTATATCATCGCACATGTATACGCGTCATTACCTATAGGAAATTGAATTTGTAGTGCGACTCTTAAAACATAATAAGAGATGATTTTCTCGACTTTTAATTATTTTGCCAACATGTGTGTACTTCAACTTTTTAAGGTTCAAGATGACCTTTCAGCTTTATAAACTTATACATAATACCGGTGTTGTTTATAAGTAGGGCTCGGATTTCAATGCATTTGCAGCTTTTTTTATGGAATGCTATATACGATGCTTTCCGAGATACAAACGTATTTCAAGTACTTCATGTTGTAGTTATAAATAATTTATAGTACATTTTTGACGTTTTAACGCATTTTAAGATATTTTTGACCTATATCTCGTATTATAACTAATAGGACTGACTTAAAAGAAATAGTAACACAGTACTATACGTAATACTAATAAATTATTAGCATTTGAATATTGCAGAATATGTTTTCAGACAAAATATTATATTAATTATAATATCAATATAATAATTAACCATAATAGTATACACAACGACGAATAAACCGATCGAATTATAATAAAGCAAACAAGATATATTTTACTTCAAGTAAACTTATCCTCAATCTTAGTCCTGGCCTGAAAAAAAAATCAATCAAAAAATAGTAATAATTCAGCTACAAAATCCTACATTTTTTCTGTCATTTGTGTTTATGACACATTTTTCCCCTTGTATGTAGTAGTTATAATAAATATAGGTAGGTACTAAATATGACGACGAACTAACCAAACGATATTTCTATAGAATATTTAACCTACAAGTGCAGTATCATCGGGGTTTTTTTTCCCCCATTGAACAAACCATAATATTATGAAAGGTTACATTTTTCCCCGAGAATCGGTCATCCGCAATGTCTGCACCACTTCAATAACTTCGTTCGTTTTCAGCAAAATAAAACATACTTAATTTTAGCAATGGATGTTAATTGTTTCTTTTTTTTTTTTCCAATATTATGTTCGTTTTATTGTGATATCGCCGGCCTTTACGGTTTTGATGATGTTTGCAGAATTTCAGATATCTATATTGTTTATATATGGCACACTACCAACTACCTGCAAATACGCACGAATAACTCAAGGTTGGGCGTTAACGCATTGAAAGTTAAAATTAAGTTAATTAACAAATCGCTTTTTTACATGATTAACTTTAGGTAAATCTTAATAAGTTAATTTTTTTGATTTTCGTGATGGTAACTTTGAGTTAATTTTATCTATTTAAAAACAAGTTAAATGTTGGTAACAGGCAAATTTTTTTTAATATTTCCATATTTTATAAATTTTTTACTTTCAGTGAAATTTCGAGTAGTATTTTAATGAAGTTATTAAAGTTTTAATATAATATCCTTTTTCTGTAAAGTGTTAATATTTCGTTTTATTTTATGTAGCTTTAGTCTTTATATATCTCATCAAAGCTCTCCAACTCAACCTATTCCTTTCGAACCGGCTTGTCGATTTATATATCAATTTGAATTAAATGCTATAAGTAATATAATAACACAAAATTTTCACAATTTTGGATACCCTTAATCCAACTTCATTTATCGAGATAGATTGTATTGAGATTGGCAGTACAAAATTTTACCAAGTTAATATTAACTTAATTAATTTTGTTTGGAAATTGTTTTAACTTACTTAGCTTATCAAGATTTTATCTGGATTTACTGAACAAGTTAAAAAAATTTAATGATTTTTCCAACTTAGCAAAATATAATAATATAGGATATCCACTGTAATACGTTTCG